TAGTAGAAGTCACTGATCAGTTTGCTCTAATTAGTGCTTGGAGACTAAATTCTAAATGCTTACACAACTTAAACATCAACACTTCTCCTTTTTGTTTTGTTTCGCGTGATCACTAAATATCAGAATGAGAAGCAGGTCCTGGCTGTTMTTCCTGTGCTTGAGAGCTGCCTCCGGTGCCGCTGAACTTCCTGCGGTTGCTCCTCAGGTTGTGGGTGGTGTCCAGGTGCCAMCCTGGCACCTGCCCCTGGCAACCAGCAGCTTTGTTGGCCCTGAGTGCTGGGTGAGTGCAGCCTCTGGAATGAGCAGTTAGTTTTGCTCAGTTTATAAAACCTGCTTCTGATAAACACCAATAAAATATTCTCTGAAGCAAGCTCTTCCCAACAGGAATGGCAGTTTGAGCTACAAATAACAAAGCAGCGTTACTTGAATTCTTTGAATTTATGTGCAGTTTTAGTCATAAAACTGTAGAAGTCAAGGTTACATAAGGACAACTTTTTCCCTTTTTTGAGTCAATTTGCCTCTTGTTGAAGCCTTCTACAGAAGTCATTTGGAAAATGCAAGTCCCAGCCCCAGTGCTTTGTAGAGCGTATTAACGTGCTGCCTAACCGTACTAAAACCGCGGAGGCCGTCCCCATTTCTGTCAGCTTCCCTTCCCTGGCCACTGGGACTGCCCAGGTTTCTATACAGGGCTCACACCAGCTCTGGATGTGTCCCAGCCATCGCCGTGTCCCGTCCGCCCGGGGGGCCCTGGGTGTCCGGCCTGTCCTGCTCCCTGCACATGGGAACAGTTCGGAGGCCCTCAGCTGCCCGGCCCTGTGACCAAAGGGTTGCTGCCCTCTGCTGTTAAACACCAGCTGGACTGACCCTTTGGCTTTAGCCTGAGTAGCAAATTGTCCAAATTTTTCCTTGAATTGCTCCTTTGTGGATGATCAGTCTCCTCTTGGTGCTGTCAACACATATAGCCCGGCAGCTTGGCTTTGCAGTGTGGTCTAAGGTGTCTTTGTCTTGTGCTTCTCTGTTTGTAGAAGGTGTTGCACCATGGAATTATTTTTCTGAGCAGTGTGGAATGGAATGAAAATTATTTACTGAATAGTTTGGTCACTTTCTTAAAGACCTTAAACTACATATTGTCCATAGATAACCTTATTCCTTCATGATTTTTGAGCCATGACATGTGAATATTCTTTGGATGATCTTGATCAGGTATTTTATTCTGAGGTTTAATAATATTTGTGAGGCTGCTGTCTTGTTTTCCTGTGGAACTGGTGTGAAGAAATAGAAAGGAATGTTTTAACTATTGCTGCAATACAAGCAAATGACATTCAGTTACTTAAATAAGGGAGGATTGAAGTAATTCAGTAGGAAATAGTTCTTGATATAGGAGGTGAGATATCATGGTTTGCATTAATATAAATAGGAGTGGAAAAGTTACCTTGTCTTTATCTTGTAATGCTATGGTTGTCTTCTTTTGGATGAATGGAAGAATAATATTGGAGGTTTGACTACAAAAAGGCATTACTTTAAACTTCTTTGTGTGGTTATAAACAGCTTTCAGTTTATATTCTTAAGCAGGCTGGAGGTGATAATTTCTCTGTTAATGTAAGTGACTGTCAGAACTGTGTGACAGAATGTGAATACATGGAATTGTCTCCACCTCCAGTTCCCTGCAGTTTCTCTACCGCCAATTAAATTCCTTGCTTGTTTTGAATGGCTCTTGGCAGTAGCGTGGGTTMGGCACCCTAAGGAACCATAGGCAGTATAAGAGTGTAAGAGATATGAGTGTTATGTTGTTTCTTATTTTGGTATTCTGTATTTTACCCCAAGGAAACTGAGTGAAAAAAACTGGGCTTCTCTATGAATCCAATTTAAAAAAAAAAAAAAAAAGACTTCGCAAGAATAAGAACATCTTGAATTGTTTTGAAGATCAGACCTTCTAACTAATGCTTCCTTCATATGATTGTAGATTGCCTTTTTATGCAGTGCAGATGGCCTTTATAATAAAGATAAATGTCAGTGATCCTTGCTGTTTTTTTACTTTGACTGTGAAAATGTGGAAAAAGTAGAAGGAAAGTATAGGTAATGGTGCAGAAACCAGTCCCTAACTTGAGCCAATTCAGCTATCAGCGTGTTGCTTGTGCAGAAGCTATGGCTCAGCTGTTCTCATCTCTCCGCTCTCCAGCTTCATCAAGGCAGACAATGTCATGTATTGCATTTGCCTTTTTTCTGTTGACTCAGTCTGAAGTCCAGTAGTCTTAAAACGAAACTGAAGAGGAAACCATTAGTTGTCTTGGAGCAGCTAGACAGCTGTTTTGAGATATTGGTCTGTTTTCATGAAGCATGTTGGGTTCTAGGTTCATGAGGTAGTTGAAAGATAATGGCAAAGATAATTTAAAACKGTCTTTCCTCGTAAAATACAGTGAGTAGTAGTGCTTCATGATGAATGCTTTCGGATTCTGTGCTCTAGCTATATTTTTGTTAGAACACTTCCTGAAATTGCGACTGTTAATGATGGAATCTAAAAAAACTGCTCTGTTGTTTTGAAACAATAGATAATTGCTTTTGTCTTTTTTTTTCTTTAATAGAATATTCAAATAAAAACTTTGGCAGATGATGTGGTAAGGTCTTCCTGACATCTTGGTCGGTAATAACCTCACACTGCATGCTATTTTACTCGAAATGTTGTGGACAATGTGACATGTACTTACAAGGATATTAAGTCAGACCTCTAAGTTGGTAAACCAAAAGAACTTAATTTATAACTAGAGTTAAAGMAAAGTCATGTTATTGATGTGGAGAAGCTTCTTTAACCACAGTCGATACTTGAGCACTGCAGAGATGTTCAAGCTGTTGGGAATGTTCCTTTTCCACCAGTAAAGGATCTGYGGTGGGTCTTCAAAGTCAGTTCAAAATGATTCAAATGAACTATATTGGCTGTAACTATGTGCTATATATCAAATAAGTGTATATTCGGTAGCCTCAATTCAATAATATTGAATACTTTGAAAACTGTTGCCAAGTATTTTATATAAACTGTTTCAGAAACGATTACAGTAAATTTGCTGACTTTGGTTTTCTGCATAGGGTGGTTAAGCCCTCATGGCTATTCACTGGTTATCTAGTTAATTGCTATCTGGTTGAGATGAAGAAATTGTGCATAGGAACACATGAGCTTAATTTATGGCTGGAAAATGATCTCACCATCACAATATGATTAAACTTGCTTTTAATAAGGTGTGCTTGAAATGGAACATGGTGGGAATTGATCTTAAAACCCCTTTTTAGTGATTTCTAAGAGACTTTCCTGTGGATGAATAAAATGGCATTTGCTGGATATGAGTAACACCTTTGCAACCTTCTATTTTGTGGATTTTTCAACAAGATGTATCCTAATTATTGYTTTTAAAAACTGACATAAATTACCTAGAGAAAATATAATCTTTATAATGGTAAGMATTTTTTAATATCCTTTTCAGTAATGTGTTTCTGTCCACAAATGCAAGATTTAAGGAAACTAATTCTCACACACCAGGAGGAAAAAACAAAACAAAAACACAAAACAAAGAAAACAAAGGACATGCAGCTTACGTAGGGATACTGTCTGCTCAAAAAATTTTGCTGCTCTTGTGCTTTGAAAGTACTCAGCAGAACAGAACATGAAGAAATGAAGGAATCCTGTTTAYTGTCTTCTGTGCTGCCTAGTAACATCTCATGACTAATTGAAAATTAATTCAAATCTCTTGCAAATGAAATACATTTTTGAATTCTTCATGAATTCAAAATTCATTCAATTATATAGACATTAAACTTTGTTTTTTTWAAATAATAATAATAGCCATGAAGTTTTGAATGATACTGTTAATGCCTACATAAGCTGCTGTTAAACAAAAGTACATCTTCATAAGGCTGCTGGAGACATAAATAGCTAAATATTTGTTGATGTAGGTAGTTTAATTAGAAAATCCCTGTGAATATAACATTCCAGATGTGAACCTATACACGTACATATGTGAACACACACACACACGCGTGCACTTTTTTAAAGACAATATTAGTAAATTACAAGTTGGTTATACTARTGGTTATTCAGGCTAGAGTTACGTACAGTAGCCAACAGCCTTATAGAGAAGATGCACTTTATGTTATTTGTAATATTAACAAATTAACTGAATAAGCACGTGCTGCTTAAAAAAAAAGGGGGAGGGGGAGGGTAGGTGCAATGCATGAACCAAATCAGTCTTAATTTGTGAAAATTCWTTGCAGACAATATGATATGCTTTCACTAATGTCCAGCACGTATAGTTAACTTATGAATGGCTGCTTCTAYGCAAGTAATCCATTACCTTGCTTTTTAAAATCATGTACTAATTTCAGGAGTCTGTAATCAAAAACTGTTCAAAGTATTGTAAATATTACTTGGAGRATTAATGCTAGTACAAACTTTATTTGGTTTTAGTAGGGTTTTTATATATGTCTGGTGAAGTTATGGGTACTTCCTTTCAATGGCTGGCTTTTTGAGTTATCCTCAAAGACTTGCAGTTCTTGGCTTTAAGAGGTGTTTGAGATTATCTTTGTGATACTTTTTTTTTTTTTTTTTAACTGCAAGAATAATTGAGAATTAATGTGAGCAAATCAAGATCTTGAAATGTGAAGAATTTGACCTAGAATTTGACCTAGTATACCCCTCAGTCTGGAAGATAGTTACATGTGTTTCGCATATGACCTGTCATGAACTTACCTTAAATGATATCTTTATAAGAAATGTAATTTCTGTATGTATGAATATTTTTGCTTACAGCATGATTTCTGAGTTTTAACACTGCTGCTTGGATGAACTTTAACTTAACGCTTTATATTRCTGCTGTGCAATTGAGTTACCATATCTGTTCTCTGATATTTTTGCATATTTTGTATGTGCTAATTTTTAAATGGGTATCTTTGCAGCGTGACAGAATAACAAGCTTTAGAAAATCAGGAGTGAAAAGAGAGAAACCTCTTATCCAACATCCTATTGACTCTCAAGCTTCTATCAGTGAACTCCCGGTTGCCCAGCCTGTTGTTGATGAACGGTGCATGAATTTATCTGAGAAAGAAGTTATGGACCTTTTTGAAAAAATGATGGTAAGAGAATGTGTCAAATTGAGATTTTCATTTGTTTTCATATTAATATCTATTAGGTAGGAGTAATTTTCAAATGTTGTAGACAGACGGAACTATGTCGAGATTTGGGTCAGGGCGAGAAGAGTTGACTGGTCAATGAGAGAGGCCTATGTTAACCTGATATATAAGGAGTAATTAATATAAAGAGTATGTGCTATTATTTCATACCTTAAAAATGTTTCTACAGAAAAACAGACAAAAAGACAAATACTAAAAATTTCCAACGGCTGTGCATTGATTATTCCATAAAGCTAACCTGGAGATACTAGTCAGGAAGGATGGTTTTTACTGGGCTTATATTTTTTCCTTTGCAAAATGGYTATTTTCATTAGCAAAATTTTACTATAGGGAAAGGTAACTTTTTTATATGGCACTGAGTATTTTCTGTCTTAGATGTGTTTATCAAGGCTTTACACTATTCACAAATATGTGTTTCTATTACTGAGATAGAGAAAAAGCTTTTGAAATAGAAATGCATTTTGGTCTTGCACAATGGAATTTATATTTTAATTATAAGGAGAATGGGATCTTTTGAGGATTTTTAGAAGCACTGTTTGTAATGATTTTAAAGGATGATTTAGAAAACTCACAGTCGATAGATCTTAAGGAATATGAATAGAAGCCATAAAATATAATCTTGATACTGTATATTCTGCTGCTTTATAGGAAGACATGAATCTAAATGAAGAACGTAAAGCTCCTCTAAGAGATAAAGACTTGACCACAAAACGGGAGATGGTTGTCCAGTACATTTCTGCAACTGCCAAATCTGTAAGTAGCTCTCTTCRTGAGAGATGAAACTAGTAAGCTTAGTTTAGGAAATGTTATGCTTTTCCTGCTGAAACGTCCACTTTTTTTTTTGGTCTGGAGTCATGCCAAAGAGTAAGAGAAAAAAAAAAAAATCTGTACTTGAAAATGTATTTTGAAATGCCTGTGGTTGAAGTGTTAATGACCTGCAAGTTTAGTTGGTGGGCAATAATCACTTCTCACATTCTCATAAACCACAAGGAATTGCAGATTTTCTCATGTGGAGTAATGGATAGAACCTGAGCATAGTTTTGCGCAGTTGATTTTATGCATTTATGATAGGCAAACTATTGAAAAGGTGAAGAAGACTTTACGGTTGCAGTAATGACATGCATTGTTATGATGCATCTGTGTTTAGAAATTGGGGAAAAAATAGTCCAAATAGCAGTAAATCAGTGTTTTGGTTTAATTTGAAAAACATTCTACAGTAGTTGTATTGAAGACTTTGCTAAATATTTTGCTAATGTTCTGAATCTTTGATGAATTTCAATTGATAATAGTGTTTGATATGTTTTGAAGCTAAACAAGATGGAAAGAGTGGTCTTAAAATATTTCATGAAGCTGGTTGAGTAGAGAAGTTTATCTTCAGGCCTCTGAGTTTTGTTGATCATTTTTTCCCCTTTAGCTGAGGTAATTAAGGCGTAACTAAAAAGTGTTCAACATAGAATTCTAAGCTTATCTACTTGAGGCTGCTGGAAGAGAAAGAGAACTGCTCAGTGCTTCAGTAGCTCCTGAGGTGGATAAATCTATTCTTGATTTCAAGTGGAGAATTGTAATTTTTCTGCCATAGTGGCAAGAGTAGTACTAGTGAGTTATTAAACAGAACAGKAGTGCTTTTTGTGTGTTCAAAACAAGCAAATGCAGCTCTTCTGAAGCAAAAAGAAAATATTTCTCAGACTGCTTGAATGTTGTGTGGAAGACAATTGTAAATAAAAACGGAGGATTTTTTTTGTCCTGGTTTTGCTGTTCTATATAGAACTTTAAAGAAGCTGGTGCAAAATTTTGAGCAACATAATGTATTGTGCTGTTGTCAGAGCTGAGTAATGGTCTGGACAGAGGAGGGAAGCTCTTGATATTCARGGGACAAAAATAGGTTTTAAGTGAGAAGTGAAATTTGCTCTCAGAGTGGTTCTTCAAGGGAATCAAGTGATGCATGTGGTTTTATTTGGAAATTAGGATGAATCTCTTGCTGTTTTCACATTTCAGTTATTGTTTACACTAGAATGTTATGGGAGATAAAATTGGGTAGAGAGTAATTGTTCAAATACATAACGGCAGCACAGCTGTCACTTATGCATTGCTAAGTCTGAGGGCAAAGCRAAGAACATTCAGCCAAGATGAATGTTCTTTTGACTTTCATTTCTTTTTGAAATCAATTGGCAACTAAGATTATATTGATGTCTACCTGAYTAAGCTGTAAGTGATACTCCACTCTGTTTTGGAGTTTTACTTTCAAAAATTAAAACTAGAATTACATGAAATTGTTAAACCTGAGTGCTTTGTAGAAGAAAAAAAAATCCAACATAACCCTATTTATTAAATGAGGAAAAATTTGCATCGTAATATGCAAATCGTGATGTGATTTGAGAGCAGTGAAGTTTCTAAATGCATTCATTTTAAGCAGGCCCCTGGTCTTCTGCCTCTTCTCAGCTCTCTTATAATGAATATGGTGCKTGAGGCTTTGACTCGCTGAATATACAAGTCATTGGAGAATTATTCAAGCTTATGTGGTGAATGTTAGAAATTTTTTTCTTGTTAATCTACTTCATGTTGATCATCTGAGAACTACAGATTCTGTTGTAGAGATTTGTCTTCAGTTGATATTGAATGTTCAATTTTTTTTGAGTGAACAAGCCTCTTTTATTCAAGTGATAGATATTTTCATGTTAGTTGTTTTTGAATTTCTATCACAAAAAGCAGGCAGGAAATTATGATCTTTATATAATAATATTGAAATGTAGACTTATTGATTTCCAGAATTTTGTAGCTAAGTAACAAAAGCATGGCTGCCATTGCATGTCTAACACCTGAAAACTTTAACAAACTGCATTACTACCACCATATGAACTGCAGCATGTAACAGAATTGCCAATAAATTTGCCCAAGGGCACTAATATGATAAAAAAAAAAAAAAAAAAAAACACCTTGCAAAATCATCGTGTATGAATACGTGCTTTGAACTTCTTTCAGCTCATTCAGTATGAATGTTTTGCTTTGTTGATATGTGAATTATTTTCCCTAATGGCACAAGGTTTGCTTGTGGTCCTTAGAAAGCCTTTTTGATGTTTGAAACATAATACTCAAATGGCATTTTAAAAGCTGCTCGTGAATTTGAATGTCCTTTCTATAGTTTTATTCTATGAACAAAATAAACAACTTGGTTAAAAAATATTGATTAGACTCGTGCAATAAATGGAGGGAAAAAAAGCCTTTGATTTTCTTATGTTTTTATTTGAATAATTAACATTTGGTTGGATTTAAGTCCTAAATGTAATTGTTATTACATTTTGGCTTTCCAAGCTTTGTCTTCCTTGGACCACCTTCCAGTTTATCCTCTGAAAATTATGCCTGTGGACAAACAGGTGGCTCTTTCTTCCTCCTTAGAAATGTCTTCTTTGCTCACAGATTGTTGTTCACTTGTGTTCCTTTGGTACCGAGTTTACTTGGGACTTTGCTTTAGAGCTCATGGTTCTTGGAGCTCCCTTAAATAGCTGATGTGACTTTCCTTTCAGTCTCTCCTGTGTTGTTTTTTTAGCCAGACTTTTATGCTTTTCTGCACTCAATTGAAATATGAATCTCACTTCCTGATCTTCATCAAATTTAAAAATTGATACTTCATTTTCTTTGTCTCCTGCACCATCTCCAGCTATTGGCCATGCTTCTCTGAAACCCTATGCTCTCTGAACAGTTCTCAGTGAGGAAAGGGCTTGATTTTTTCAATGGATTGGGAAAAAAGTCCTCTTCTTTGGAGGATGGAGGAAGGATAGTAGCTAATAATGCAGAGACTTGACGCGATGCAGTTATTTGGACTTCTGATTGTTCTTTTGCCCTGTGACCTATGACATGTTCCTTAAAATCACAGGATAGCTTTTTAATACTCTACATATTCTGCAACAGAGAGAGTTCACTGAAATTCTTCAGTATTCTCTTTATTTTAATTCATGTTGAGAGAGAGAAACTTTGAAATTTCACCGAGTTGGAAGAGTAATTTCACCTAAACCAATCCTGCAGATTTCCAAATGCTTTAAGTGCACTATAGTTAAGAAATAAAGCAGAAATASTCTTTGTTGAATAGCTTTTATACATTATTTTCTTTCTACAAAATATCTTGGMGTTTTTATTAGAGAATATAAGTAAATAACCACTTTGTCATTTTTTTTTCCAAAGTTTCCAAGTTTATCTCTCTCAACATAAATTAAATAAAGAGAACACAGAAGAATTGAAATCTGAGAACAGAAACATTACCCTCTCAGCCTCTTCATCAGATAACAGGAGATATCAAATAAATTTGCTGCTGTCAGGAAATGGCTRCCAGAAAAAGGTCTACAGTATTCAGGCAGCAGTCCATGGTACTCGTGTTTGTAAGAAAACAGTAATTTGTGCAAAGTAATAGAACAAGGCAGAGATCTGTTGCCTTTCTGCCGAGTTTTCCTTCTGTGTAAAGTCAACATCTTGCTTGCGTGTGTGCAAAGATGTTTTCTGTGCCCTRCCGTGGATCAACAGGATTGTGTAAATGGCTCTTCAGCCATCTGTGTAATGAAAAACATCCATACTGAGCAGCTGAAGAAAAATGCCATGTGAGATAGATYGAAACTGCTGTACTAAATGAAGTTGATGTGTCTTAGGGAAAGTCAGTATGGGTTTTCTCTGAAGCTCTTCAGTGTCATATGCAGCATATCTGACTTGATAATTTTAACAATATTGGCATAGCTCTTATACTCAACATGTACATGTCAAGCTAGATGTTCGGTTGCTTTTTTCTTTTTTTTTTTTTTGTGAATATGTAAAACACATTCTAAAACGTGTAAAACCAACATAACGTAAGGAGTTTGAATTTATACTCTCCCGTGGTACATTTCACTGTTTTTCTGTTGAGGAGCCATAACTCTTAAACATTTTGATTGATGAAAGAGTGTAACTAGTACTAATTTTGAAACATTGAAATATTTGTGTGATGCTACATCCTACTAATTACTTTGCTCTGTTTGTTTATTGTTTGTTTTTCTTTTACACAATAATCTCTTGGCTGACCACTGCATGCAGATAGTCGGAAGTAGAGTTCCGGTGAGTATCAACATGATGGTTTTCTCTGTTTTGACTAACTTTTATTTTTCAGACATTAGGCTGCAATAACCAGGACTTTTAGGATGGATTTGTAAGTTCAGTTGGGATAACTGAGTCATTGTTCTATCACCGTAATGATCAATTAGCACAGCCACATTTATCTTACTAGTATGAAGTTGTTGATTGTGCTGTTGGGTTGAGTGGTCTATCTATAGTAAGGTTTCAGTTTTCTATTTGTAGATACTCTAGGATTCATTGGAAATATAATTATGAAAAGCAACAAATATAACATTAAGTATATAATAGATATAACTAGGATTATACTGGTTTTTAYGGAAAGCATTTGATTGGAAGCTTAAATAGCAATCTTTGGCTTATTTTCATTTGCTTAGCCGTGGATTTTTGTATGTCCTACGTGTTAGCATTTGTGGAACTGATAGCCGCTTGATATCAATGTGAGAAYGGGGTGTTATGTATAGGATTGAGAAGTTCAATGAATAAACACAAAATGAAGCCAGTTGCAGCATAGCTCTTTACATAGTGATAACTAAGTTTTTTCCTTAGTTTCTTTCTTTTTTTTAAAGGAAATATTGGGTGTTTATTTTGTAGGACTGAATTCTGGAAATGAAAATTTCTTGTTGGAAAAAAAAATTGGGAGGAAATTAGGATTCTTTGAACATGCACACTTGAAAATGAAAGCAGAGTTGCATTTTGTAGTTGCAGATGGGCCTTTTCTGTAGAAAGGAATGCAGTGAAGATCTTAAATACCCCATCTGTGTGTAGGAGCTTCCTAGGGAGCTTGCAGGAGACTACACTGAAAGCTGAAGTAAATAAATTCTTTGGAAAACGAGCATGTTTTGTGTTCTGGAGTGCTCTTCAAGGTTTAATTTAACATGTAGTGACATTTGACTGAAGTTTGTTCTCATTCATCTCATTTCATAATATATTTGTATTGTTGACAGCACTGTTTGCCTTTTTCCCCCTGATTTTAGAAGTGTCTGAAATCACAAAAACTCTGTTTAGCAGTGCGTAGATGGTATACGTATAAATAGATGGTGTACCAATAATAATAATAAAGTATAAAGCTGTTGAAGTTTCCCCTTTTTCTGTCTTTCAGAGCTGTTCTGCATTGCATTAGATTAAACAAATCAAGTGCGTTAGCATTAAGGCACGTACCACTTCTTTGAAGATCTCTCTYGTTGTTAGCTGTTTCTGTGGCCAACAACAACCCCTTGTTTGGGAGGTTGATAGTGACAGACTGTAGCTCCTTCATACCATGTTATTGATCCTCATGTCTGTCTTGGTCCTTTTATGTATAACTGATGTGGTGTCCGGCTGAAAGTGCTAAGTAYCTCAGGAACAAACATCTTGAGAGATGACAGTTTCCTAAGGACTGCTTAGTCAAAGGCCCTGTARTCTTAATACATGTACAGTCTTTGTCAGATTTTTGTTTTATTGAGATAAGGACAGATATATATAAAAGCATTGATTTAATGCCAATAAGTCATATTTTTTTAGTTAGCCGTGTACTTTCGAAAGTGAACTATGAAAATGTATGCAGAACAGTAAGAACCTCATAAAACTTATAGCTTTTGGAACAAACGAAAAGGGGAGCTAGAACAGTTGGAGTAGTCCCTGCTTATAATTAAGACCTACTTCTGTTAGAGTGGTCAGGTGGTTCTGATATTGATCTTTGTTCTTCTGCCTATCATGGCATGTATCTATTAAGTTCTCTTCACCACCACCACTCTTTTGAAATGTTGCAGAAAAGTAGGTGTATCTCGGGCTTTTACAGAAAATTAGTCATATGTGGTGAAGGAATATTTTACAAATTCATGGCTTTAAATGCTACAGCTCCAAAACTGATCTAYGGATATTTTAATAGCCAAGTAACTTATAGCTGGCTGTTTTTCTGTGATGCCACTACAGCAGGGAGATGAGCTATTTATCAAAACTTCTATATCATTCTTTTGTTTTGTAGTTGAACAAGATACTCTATGGAACAGTATTAGTGGCCAAACAAAAGAATTCTGCTACAGCAAGGAAGGATTAAATCAGGTAGTCGCATGATTTCAAAAGCATTGATTTAGCAATTGGTAGATAACTGTTCTTTTTCTAAGTTGCTTTCAGGGGCTTAACAACTTTTCTCTGAGAGAAGAGAGAGAAAGCATTTCAGGATCAGAGTCTGGCCCTGGTTATTTTACATGTTTTTCAGGAAAGCAGAAGATGGATATAGTAAGAAGGATCAGACAAGCGGGGAATCTTTGTGTGTTAAATACAATGTTGGGAAGCAGTAGTTACATTGTGTTAACACAATTGAATGATGTATGAAACTTTTGTTATGRAAGATRKAGTATGTGACCTTGACTCAAAGAATACACAGTATGCAAGGACCTGACACTTAGAAAAGTCTGGTTTGGAGGGATRCAAACTGGACAGAGTCCAAGTGGGTCACCAAGATCTTCGTATGAGCTGGTTGTCTTTTCCTTGTCTCTGCAGCTTTCAGATAGTATCTCTATGTTGATGAAAGGTTTAGGAAAAGCTATTGAAATGTTGGAGTTGATTGTGCAAAGTATAAATCCCATWGATGTTGAACTTGCTGACTGTGAAACAAGAGGCATGTTTTATGAAGTAATCCAATGCAAAGAATACAGCTTTCTAGTACATGGATTTATTTATTTTTCCAAACCATGGTGTGTATAAGATATGTCAGATGTTAGATATTTTCTATTTTTGGACACTTTATTCAATTACACCGTCTCTTCCTCATTCTCTGCATTATTTTTATATATACAGTATGCTTACGAAATATTATAGATACAATAGTCAACTGCGCTGTGCAGAAAGCTGAGGCTTTGCCGGTTAAAAAACAAAAAACCAAAAAAACATCTGGGTGCGGATGTGGTTGTGTCGACAGAGGTTGGCAGCTGGTGGCTTTGCTTCCTGTGAGGAAAGAAACGTGTGGGGCTGTTAAACTGCCAGGCACCCTCTGTTAAAACGTGCTGCCCGCTGCTAGTGGGCTCAGGTGACACTGTTGTCAGTGGGTCTTTGGCAGCAGACGCCCCACAGATGCCTCCTCACTGCCTATAGTGGAGACACAAAGATCAAAATACAGCACAACAAAAAGACCTCAAGTACTTGGCTTGGTAACTGCTGTATTTTGTCCTTTTTTAGCTTAAAATGGATTTGGTCAAAGGCACAGTTGGCAAGATTTTTGTTTGGTGTGGTTGTCAGTATGTGTGTGTTSTCTAGAATTTAATCCAATTCAGAATTGTCTAATTTAAGAATAACTGTTGTCTGCAGTGTTGCTAATCTCCCCCATTCCTGCCCCATTGTTTACTGGCTTGGCTCAAGGATTCACACAAATGTCTAGTAAATCATATTTGTTTTCTTAAGGTGAAAATATCAGACCATTTTTGGACTGATACAAACATAATGAAATTCTAGCTCTGGTTTATCAGTTAAAGTAATTCTAAGAATATGTCTCCACAGAAACTTTTTAATAATATTATAACTTAGATTTGTCCAACTGACATAGTTAAAAGGTGGAATTGGAAAAAGGGTTGAACTCTGTGAAGACATTCACATGGTGATTGTTTTTCTAGTGCTGAATAGAAATTTACCTATATTGGCATGTGGTAATCTGGATGAATATACTTCATTCTTAACCTGTATTAGCTTCTCAGTTGAGGTCAAACTTTTCCAAGTCATTCGGAGGGTAGATACTTCAAACTTTGGTAGGAATTGGTTGGGAGAGTGAAGTAAGCTTCTTGCATATGCACATATATATATATATATATATATATATATGTTCCATATAATATATCTAATGAGTGGACTGTAAGCTACTTAGACCTACCTTCACATAAAGAAGCAGCAGTAGTTATGGAAGCTGATCATAGCAACTGTCTAGCTTGGCTTGTGCGTTCATTTGCTGCATTGAAAATGGAATATTTTTCTTTTATTTATTATTAGCTTATTTGGAGAGAGACTTCATTTTCCCGAAAGTTTTTAAATTTGCACCTGCCCTGAAAATTTAGTGCAACCATCTTGCTCTGCCTGGATGGCTGATGCAACGTGGCTTTTAAAGAAGCGCCYGGCTGGCATGGACAGCCCTTCCAGGCAAGGGATGTGCAGGGTTTTCTGTTCCTCTTTCTAAATACAGCACTGAACAAAGCACAATCTCAGAGTACCCACTCTGAGAACCTGTATACCAAAACATGGATAAGAGGACAGGGATGAGCTCCCGATCGTGTGACCTGTTGGAAATGAACTTTTGTGTTGTGTAGTGAGTGGGTGTGTGGGGGCCGGGAATCCGGAGGTGGGTTCAAAACTAGAACTACTTGAAGCCTTTTTACTTCTTTCCACCTGCATTGCTTCTAGTTAGCTGCTTTGCAGCAGTGTTTATGGTGTTTGTATTTACAGCTAGTCAAGTTGAAAAGTGTCGTAAAAAAGGATTTGTGTCTTCTTGCTTATCTGCTGATATACATTGATATTGTCCTACTATATATTTTATCTCTTTCTGGAATACCTTTGTAACTATTATTTGATTTTTTTCTATGAAAATGTAAGCCATGGGTGAATTGCCAAACTCTGAGAATTCCATTGTATTTTGCAGTTAGCTCCCAGAGGAGGGGAGAGGACAGCTTTACTCGATACCTAAAGGAATCATGCATTTAAACCTTAAAAGAATTTTAAATACTATCAGCTTGTAAGCATGATATCACTGCATCAAATAATGATGCAGTAGATTCAGATCTTAAAAGAGTTTTAGTAGTTGTTTAGTACATTATGAATTTATCTAGCATGTTAGCTGCCAAATGTTTTTTTCTGTGAAGAAAATAGCAGAAAAATATCTAGGTTTGGGAGGCAAAACCAAAACTRTTAGACATTATAACAAATCTAAGTCAAGTTTAGCGGTCTGTAATARGGAAGGGAAATGGGGAAGGGAAACTGTTTTTTAAAATAGCTCATGCATATATTGGCCTTAAAAGTTTTCATTTACTTAAGCATGGTTATAATCTATGTAACACTAAACATCATTCAATCTTCTGTGATAGGGTGGACTGAAAAACAGCAAGCATGAATGCACGTTGTCCTCACAAGAATATGTTCATGAATTACGATCTGGAATTACAGAGGAAAAGCTTCTTAATTGTCTAGAGTCTTTGAGAGTATCTCTAACAAGCAATCCAGTTAGGTAAGCAAGATTTTTTACTATAGTTTTGATCTTGCTGTTTTCTTTTGACAGTAATTTTCTGTACATTTTGTCGCATTTCTAGGAATCCTAATGAATTRCAGGAATACATTCCCAACTCTTGGTTTTGAAAGTGCTGAGATGTTTGATTTTTTGTACAGAGTAGAACTGTCTWGCTCTTTTTTTCCCCTGAACTGGAAAAAAAAAATCACTAAGAAGATTGAAAAGCATATTTACCTTTGTTTCTGCACAAATGGAATACACAAAACACTGTATAGCAGTCTGGTAGACATAGGACAATTCTGTTCACACCTGTTGAAGTCACATCTGTTGAATCCATTAAGCAGATGAATAGCATTAATCTGCTGAGTTGCATGTTTGATCTATATTGGGATGATATTCTTAGGGTGATGATGCTCTTAAGCATGGGAAACAAAAAGACTTTACACCAGGGGTCATGCATTGATGTTTTTCTTGCKCTGTGTGCACCTTTCTCTTACCCTTGGTCATGCCCATCTGGTCCTGCTGATCATATGGGTCAAGTTCTGTGAAGTGATCCCAAGTGTGGTTGTCATCCATGGTTGGTAGGTCTCCTCTTTGAACCCAGTCTCTAAGCATGAAAGCTTGAGAGATCTTGTTGAAGATGATGAAGGCAAAGAAGTCACTGAGTAGCTCAGCTGCATCACTGTGCATCCGAGTATTTCTGTCTCACTGAATACCTTGCTCCATTCACAAGATTTTCACGTTATCTTGCATTTTGGGACTAGATAGTTGCAAACCAKTGGTTCAGGTAGCAGCTTAGTGAATGCCCACACACGGTTCATCAGTGCTTAGAACKTGGGTTTCAGTATCTAGAAGAAATAAAGTTCACAGCTTTAAATATTGCTTTTGGTAAATGAATACTGTTAGATGGACACTGCAAGACTCTTAACTCGTTGTAAGACAAATTTTTTACAGGATACTGCTGTTCTAGCTTCACTTCTGTTTGGTGTTATATCAATATAAAAATACAGCTGTGGTAGCAGGATACTAGAAACATTCTTTATGTGCATTTATTTTACGAGAAGCTCTTTCTTTAGAAATACTTGAATRGAGATGTTTAATATTTGTTTCAGGTATCAGTATAGTTAGAATTTGGAGGTGTTTTAACTTTCACAAGCTTTATATGGCAGAGGTGGAAGTGTAACTGTGGCCTGAACTGTAACTTGTGTCTATTATTAAGGAAGAGGAAGAATTCGTCTTATAAAATACAAAGTATCAAACAAACAGTTTCTTACCAAAACAAAGCCTTAAAGGCAAACATTTTTAAATAGCATCTGTTCAGTGTTTTTTCTAATGGGAATAATAAACAGTAGAAATTAAGGACAGATGCTTGCTTATATTTTTCATAGTGTTGACAGATATTCAGTCTGAATTGTAATTTAGCCTTGAGAAGTTTTCATCCTGTTTGTAGAAACACTAGGATAAGATTAGTTGGTAACAGAAGAACTGATGATGAGTGCTTTTGGGTTTTGGTTTTTGCTTTTTTTGAACCTAGAAAATATTTTCAGCTTTCAGTTTGCAGTTTGAGGCCTGAGAGCACTTGCAGTGCTTTAGATAGTACTGTAGGCTGTAGCTGTATTGATAGATTATTTTAAAAGCTCTGTTGCTTGGTAAGTAGTGCTGTTTCAGAACAGCTATAATAAATTCTGTAGGAAAGCTGACATCTCTTGAAAAGAATTTTTCTTTTCCCTCCCTCTTTGGAACATGTTGAGGGTAAAGCAGTGCTTTCTACTTGGCTCTGTGTAAATGTGATCAGCCAACTTTCAAGTGCCTTCAGCCTATGAAATGTGTCATGTTAACTGCCTATTTAAAAAAAAAAAAAAAACAGTTTATGTTACTGCTTGAACATTAACTTTAGGAAGCTGTTGCATACAGATTATACCATGAACACGGAGCAAAGATGTTAGAATTAACATGTAGTTCGAAAGAACTTCTTTTTGTCTCTGTGCTTTCCTCCTGCCTCCTGTTGCACCTTGTTCCTTGCATCTTGTTTCTTTGAGCTTTCTGTAGGTGTTTGGCACTCTAATTTCTCAAAAGACTGCAATATGCCCAAATTAAGGGCTTTCCTGTCAGCAGGTACTTCAGAAATAATTTTGCTTACCTTTCTCTAGACTGTCAACGCTTGCTTCACAGTGAACTAGAACATTTTATGCCCTTGCTCTAGGGACTCAAAAACATCTACCTGGAGCTGTGCATTTGTCTTAACAATTGATTGTCTTCCTGCAAAGTGGTGTTTAAAGCAGCATCTCGGAAGCAACGTGTTATCAGTCCTGGGACGTAACTTTGGAAGGTTTGCATTTGATTTGATTTAGATGGCTAAAAAAATTTGTTCTCTTTTCCAGCTGGGTTAACAATTTTGGACATGAAGGTCTTGGACTTTTATTGGATGTATTGGAACGGCTTTTGGACAAGAAACAGTAAGGACTCAAATCATTGGAGTATAGGGATGGGGAGCTTGTGAAGATGAGTCAGTGTTGATTTATTTTCCTTCCTCCCTTCAAGGCAAGAAAATATTGATAAGAAAAATCAACATAAACTTATCCAGTGCCTCAAAGCATTTATGAACAACAAAGTAAGAAAAATACTATTCATATTCTTCTAATCGCTATTTTTAATGTATTTCAAGAACAACTTAATATGTTCAGTTTTTTAGGAAAAAAGTTCTTTGCATATCCAGTGTCAACTTTCTATTTGGATATGTAGGCTTCAAATTGATGTAGGGTTTTTTTTGAGTGTCTTGTTTGTGTGTCTATGTTGAATGTTACGGAAATCAAGTCACAGATAGAAGCTAAGTGAATTAGGAAAGTAATTTGCTTATGAAATGTGAAAAATTTCTATCTAAAATAGAAGGTTTTCTAAAACCTGTATTGAATCTGTATTGAATCAGTATTTTGAGGGTGAGCTTATGGAAAAACTACTAAGAAACAACTTCTGAATTATGTCCTACTGATCATGTTGTCAAAAATTAATGTGAAAGTATCTTAAATCACCTTTTGAGGTTTTGTTTGAAAATTCTGCTTTTTTTGTCTACTCAGCAAACTCTAGAAGGCATGATTGTTTATAAATATCCCTTTTGGCTCATTTAAATTGAATATGATCATTTGTAGATATGGTTCTTAAAGTAGTAGTGGCTAAAGGATGTAAATTGTCTACGTTAAGATCCATCTAATGTGCTTTTAGTATGTTATTTGTTCACAAAGTTGTCTAAACTGCTTTTAGACTTTTAGAAATGAGATTTTAGTTTCATAGAAATAYGTTGTCATGGAAAGTTTTCTCTTTCTTCCTGAAGTATGGCTTGCAAAGGATTCTAGGGGATGAAAGAAGTCTTCTGTTACTATCAAGAGCAATTGATCCCAGGCAACCTACCATGATGACCGAAACGGTGAAAATACTTTCTGCTTTATGTATTGTTGGAGAGGAAAATATGTAAGTCAATTGAAATGAAATGCTTAGTGTCTGAATGCTCTTGAGTGATCAGTTTGGGCATGAGTAAGATGAAAATGCAAAATAAATGCAGCTGTAACCTGTTAAAATGTTTACAGTCTTTTTATTATTTATGTGACTTGTATTTTTAATGAAGGGACATTTAGGTGTTTATTATTTATTAATCCAATATTAAATCAGGAAAAAGAACCATTTAACAGAGAAAAGAATGGATATACTTTCGTATATCCATTTTTCATATACTTCTGATATGTATGCAAAGAAATAGCTTGCTTGAAATTATCACAAGGAAAGTTGAAGGTCGACTTGAGGGACAGACTTTCTAATCTTGTATTGATTTGATGGAATGGGCTGTTCCAGGAGGTTGTGAGTTTATCTGTCACTTAAGTTGAAGGACTACTTAAAATAAGGGAAAATTGGGCTGGGACATTCCATTAACGATGGAAAAACATTCAATTACAATCTTCCCATTAATTATATGTATCATTAATTATCCTGGGGAAGGCAAGATCAAGCAGTTATTTTTCAAAATGACTGGAATGCTACTATAGGTAAAGTTTTGTGATTAGATAAAATATATTAAAAAAATACAATATTACAAAAAACACAAGGTATGGGTAGATTTTTAGCAAATTATCTTCCTTCCACCTAAGCAAAACTAATATGACCAATTTTGCTTTTATACTTAAGTTATAACTTCATTACATAATTTAAATAATTTATGTAGCACATATAGGTGAGCTTTTTAAAACAAAGTTCGTTAGTCGATATGTGTACTTTGAATTTTTAAATGTGTGCAAATTTACTGAAGGTTCAAACCCACAAAATTCCCATCTTTATACAACAAACCATTTTAGTTTCTGCAAAGATAACTAGAATCCCCAGAATATCAAACCTTGCTGCTTTGCCAAATGCAGTGTTATGAAGGCAGTAATTGTTTTGCCTCTGAACTTATCTTCTTGTTTCTTAACTGAATGTCCCAATAGAGACKTATSCCTTTGTTTTAACTGTAAACTCATAGATATTTTAACATTTATTCTTTGATTTATTTTCAGTTTAACATAATAACTGTAGATAAATGCATTTAGATAATCTGTTGGTACGCTCAAAGCCTGAGTACTCTAAACCGTGGGCTAAAATGACTTCAGACTGGGGATGTTGGCTAGGCCAAGCCTTTGACAGCTTGTCTTTCCCTGCAGTCTTGACAAGCTCTTGGAAGCTATAACAACAGCTGCGGAAAGGCGGAACCGGGAACGGTTTGCACAAATTGTTGAAGGGTTGGAGAATCATGAATCTTTACAGCTGCAGGTATATTGACTACTTTTTTTTTTACTGTATAGTTATTGGATGAGTAGGTTTTTCCCTATTTGCTTATTGATACCGTAGAAATAATGTGAAATGGAAAAAGGTCATATGTCCTGATAATTTCCTCGCAAAATATTTTAGTTGCATCGTGTGATAAAATGTGATTTGATTTGCCACGTCCCTTCTTCCCTCGCCGTCACACCTCGCAGCCCTGCGCCCCTGCCATGTAATGCGTCTCTGTACATGACACCTCCACATGCCATGTGATAAGGCCATGTAGCATGTCCCATTATCTGTGACGTGTTGCCTGTGACAGCTTGTGATTTATGCAGTTCTGTATGTCATGTTGTCTCATGCTGTGTGCTGAGTGCCATTTGACATGTCACATTACACCTCATATGTCCCAGGTCGTGTGTTGAATGCAACATGTCGTGTCTCATGTGATAAGACATTACATGACATCACAGGTCACACATGTCACGTGGTATGCGCCAAATGGCATGCTGCATTCTAGACATCAATGTTACATGTGACCTGTGACAAATCGCACATTGTACGTGATGGATATGACATGGCTCATCCTGAGGGGATCGCAGGATACATGACATACCACTTCATATGTGCAGTGATGTGATATTGACATGAGACACATGACAAATGACTGATGTGACGCCTTGTCACCTGTTGTCATATTTCTGGCTTAAAAAAACCTGTAAGCACTATTTCTGCTTGTGATAAATGTTTGTGTATTGTTTTTGAAAGCATTGTTAACTGAAGTGACTGATTGCCTTGATTTTGTTAATTGGTAATGCACCTAAGCCTTCTCTCGTAAATTAATATTCATACTATGTATTAATACTGGTATTTGTCACTAATGCTATTGCAAAGGCAGTTCATTTTGAAGTCTTCTCCCATTATACGATCCCCTTGATAAAAAATACGTACACTTGAATAAAGGTGCGATTGCAAGACTCATTAACTTGTACTTCACAAAAATGTTCTTTACTTGTAATGTATTAGCACAAGCCATTAAGCCAGAGTCTCTTCTGGCAAAAACAATCATAGCAGATGGCACCTCTTCTCTCTATTAATTTCTGATTGGACATGTACTTTGCCTTGTTAAGTCGTGTCATAGTAGTAACATAACAAGAGTTACTCAGGCAAGTGGGATGACACTGCCTTATCTGAAGATGCAGCTATATAAAGGGACTGCCTTTCCAAGTGAGTTTTGATAGAAACTTAATACTCCTTAAGGTGTTCCATTAAAACTGAATAGTGAACGTAATTAAAACTGGAAGATTGTTCTTATCTTTTTGGGTTTTTTTTTTTTTTTGCATTTGTCCAGGAGCTATAGAGGCCCCACCCTGCTACTTCCATTTGCAGTTRAAAACTTTCACCATGCTGGGTTTTCCCTGAGGTCCCATTGTAGTCTGTTAATATGTATTGGCACTTTTGGCATTATGCTGTTGTCTGCCTGCTTTAAAATAAATCAATTAATGCACAGCTGTTCAATTAAAGCATTAGGCAGTAGCCTGCGACTTCAGGCATTTTGCAGAAATGCTGTGCAGTAATAGAAAACACACACCTGGTGACTTTAATTTCCTTGGATTTGGGATTTTTTTTTTCTTTTTTTTTTTTTTGATTGTGCATTTATTTCCTCAAAAACACAAGTTTGCATTGAAGTTGGGAGAGGAGGAGGAAGCGGAGTAGAAGTGGGGCAATTTGGTGTGGGAATAACTTTGTGGAAAAAAAGCTTGGCCCTTTGCAGGTGATAAAAGCCTGGTCTTTCACAGGTGATAAGATGCTGAAATAGCAGAAGGACTTGCAGTACTGAAACAGAACAGTGCTTGATGTTGCTTATCCTAACTGAAGCCAGATGGGATATGCACATGAAACATAATAMATTTGCTACCACCATAATTATTCTGTGTGTTGGTGTTGTAATACCTACCCTTGAGAGGCTTATGGGACCAGAGTGCTCTTGTCTCTTTTGTGCTTGTGACATTAGATGGAGCTGTAGTTTTATTTGTATCCTGATTTTTTTTATATAATGTCAATGACCATCTCTTGATATGTATTCTTATAATTTGAGTTAGCTGGAACAGTCAAAGAAAAAAAGGATTTGTTTTCATTCCATTCTTAATGAAAGCTTTTGCCYGTATTTCTCATTATAGGTAGCCTGTATGCAGTTCATCAATGCCCTTGTTACATCTCCAGAAGAYCTTGATTTCAGGATACACTTGAGAAATGAATTTTTACGGTGCGGACTGAAAAAAGTATTACCTGTAAGTAATTGTCTGCCTATAGGAAGTGATCACAGTTAGCTCCCTGTAGTTGTTAAAAATACCTGYGTTGTTAAAAGCGGTGCCTGATTGGGATCTGATTGTTCAGGGCTGGAAAGACCTATCATTGGTTCAAATCTGCTTAACCTATGCCTGCTCTATGGGCTTGTATTTTTGCCTTTTTATCAGCTGTACAATAGTATTTGCCAAAAAAAAAAAAAAAAAAAGGGAAAAAAGTGAGTTGCATTCCTTTAAATCTTTTCTGAGCAAGTATTTTCTTCTCAGAAGGCTAATGTGTTAGATATTGCAATGATGTAATCTTTTAAGGGGGGAAACTGTTGCTTTAAGGTAAAAGGGTGAATTAAGATGTGCCTTGCCTTGAAAAAACAGGACTTGAAAGATAAGGAGAATGAAGAGCTTGATATTCAGTTGAAAGTGTTTGATGAAAACAAAGAAGAAGACTTAATTGAGCTGTCACATCGTCTCGGTGATATCAAAGCTGAAATGGAATATCCTTTGTAAAAACGTGAGAGGGTGTTCTCATGTATTGATCAACAATTTCCTTTAAACTTAAGGTAGGCTTCTCAACATGCAACTCGTTGTCAAAGTCACATGTGTTAAGGATTTTCACAAGCAGATTTCATTCCGCTTGTGTGGGGGTGACTTTTTTGCTTATTTATTAGAAAGTTAATGAGAAAATTAATATCAGTACTGATAGCATTCTGTTAAATGCAGGAACTGAGTTTTTCATAATGAAGCTAAATGCATTGGTTTATAAGGTGCAAAATTACACTTGAATTTTAAGCCTAAGAAAATAGTTTGAAAACTAATTCAGAAACTATTTTTATGCCTTCTGTAGATAGGAAGAGGCAGTAAATTTGAAGTTACATGAGCACAGAACACTTGCTTGACATGTAAATTTGAAAAAGTGTTAGTACTGAGAAAAAGATTAAATTGTTCAACACAGAACAAAGGATCTGGATAACTGTTGCTGCAAAAGGGTATTTACTGTAAGAGTAGTACAGAATATGAACAGATTTTATATTCTATGAATGCTCTTATAGGACATTTTTTAATCTGGGTATTTCCTTGACAATATTTGCACTGATGTTAATGAAGTATATCATCTGTTGTATAATATGTTGAAAGATACATCTTGCGAAAACTACTTCCTGTCAATTCTTCAACATTTCCTTCTGATCAGGAATGATTATTATATCCGGTAAGGTTTAACTTTGAATGAGTGGGGAGAGAAGAATAGTATCTTATAGTAACAATGTAAAATAGTACAATCTAAGAGTATACCACATATGGTTTTGTTGTAAAAGGGTGGTAAAAAATGATTGATATGTGAGATGAAGAAATTAAGAATCAATAAAAAGAGAGACCTTTAATGTTTTTATTAAACATATTTAATAAGCTTTTTATTGCTTGTTATGTGGCAACTGTAAACTAGAAGCACACTTTATTTTGTGGAGTTCTCTATTTTTCACATATCCCATTGAGCAACTGACAATGAYATTTTATTAACCAACACACAAATAAGGCTTGTAATTGAAGCCTTTTACTGGTGATTGTGCAACTCATATATGGGGAGGTACAGTTGGCCTTTTCTTCCCCTCCTGATTGCATATGGTGTTATTTATGTTCTCATCTTGTAAAATGTGTTTTTTGTCAGACCTCAGTATTACAAGATAATAGAGGAATGCATTTCACAGATAGTATTGCACTGCAGTGGCATGGACCCGGATTTTAAATGTAGAGGAAGACTGGATGTGGATTTTACCCACCTTATTGGTTTGTATACGGCAATCAATTTTATCTCATTCTTTGCTCAATTATATATATATTTTTTCTTTCTGCACTTCTACGTACGTTGACTGTGTGAATTTTCCCGATTTTCTGGTAGTGCAACTTTATGTAAATAAGCTGCTTTTTTAAGATAGTGTGTCATCCCTGGAGTAAATGCTTCATATAAGGGAGTAGTTACTGGTTTAGAATATCTTAATTTAAGAAAATATTTTTGGCGATGTGACAAGAAGAAAGGAAGATTGTAGCATTACCTACATTCTGTTACTCAAATATGATTTTTCAAAACTGATCACTTTTCCACAGTTTCCACAAACCTACAATGTTTAAGGACAAAGCGTTTCTTTATGCTAGTTTGTATTTATAATCTGCAGTTAATCCTATTTACCTCACTTAAAATGTTTTGAGTTTTATACTCTGTGAAAAGAATAGAGTAGAAGTCAATAGAAATGGCAGTCCTTCACTGTGTATTGAAGAAATCTGCTTTATAGATGCCTGCAGTTTCATTTAGAAGTCTACAAAATAATTTTATTGAAATAAGAAAATACTTCTTTTTGCCTTGCTTATGTTAAAGGGAGACTTTCTGATTTAAAACTCCCTGAAGGAGTTTATAGCTTCATACTAATTTAAAGTCTACTTTTTCATGGTTTAAATAATAGTAAGTTCATTGAAAAAGGAAAAACAAAAATCATCCCATGCAAGCTCTAATCTGTTGGCAAGGGAACAGGAAAAACTCCAAGAGGATTTATTTTCAAATTTCCTGGTCACGTGTTCTCACCACTTCATTTTTACTGATTTTGCTGATCTAAGCAAGRAGTTCACCAATTATTTGGTTAGATCAGGCCATTTAGTTCATTGTGTTTTGTATCAATCAGGGTGATCACAGGAATGCCTAATTTGTGGGACACTATAGTCCTGCACTGTGCGATAGATGCCAGCAGTGCAGGTTATACATGTTGTGAAATGGCACTTCTGTAGTATACAATAAACCAGMCTGTTCAAAAACTTGGTGCGTATCTTTAAAAAAATATATTTAATGTAAAACTATTTATTTTCAAACTACTAGTTAAACAGAAAAAGTAATTTGAATCACTTGTGGTTGAAATCAACTTTTTAAATTGCTTCTATATCATAGGATCATAGTTTAATTAGGATTGGAAGGGTTTGGATTTGTTTAACATGTCTTATGTGGCAATGATTTGACTTTAGATGCCTGTGTGGACAAAGCTAAAGTAGAAGAAAGTGAAAAAAAGGCAGCAGAATTTTCCAAAAAGGTAAGTCCTATATCACCTATGTTTTAAGGTAGAGGTTAGAAACCTGACAAGAACATTATAGGTTTGTTTTACAGGAGAAGCTGCGAGAGAGCTGGGGAACAGTGAATCTCACAGATAGGACGTGTTTCAACCGTTAATAGCTCTTTTTTAATCTTGTGCAAGGTTCAGATTTAAGCTTGCTCTGAATTCCAAAGCTGATGAGTAATTTTAGTTGTAAATATCCGGAGTTGTTTTATTCCTCTGTTGTAGATAATGGATGACAGAAAATACTCTTGCTGCTGTTTTATATTCTGAAATATTTTAGTCTCAGTAAAATATCTAAAATATAAAAACTTGGAGGAAAAGCTTTATACTTKTTCATCTAGCTCTAGTATAGAACTGAAAGAAACTTATTTACAAGCAGTCTTGTTAACGTGTTTGAAAAATCATGTTGTCTTTAGGTGCAGGGAAAGATGCTAACAAAAAAGATTTATTTCCTTAGAATCGGCCAATGATAAATTACTTTCTAGGAATCTTATAGTGTGTTTTAGGACATGTCTGACTAAATTTTATCCTTTTCTACAAGTCTTTTTTTAATATATTAGGAACTTGATAACTAGTTTGATTTCAGTCATGTGAAGTTTTAATTCTTTGCTCGAAGCAAAATGCATTTGAAAATTTGATGTTTACTGGTCTCATTTAAGAAGCCTTTTCTCGACAAAAGGGCAGTACATGTCGTTACACTAATTACAAATTCCAATAACAGGCTCAAATGAAGTCTTTAGCTTTTCTCTTGTTAAACGTGGATGTTATTTTAACAGGAGTGATTGGTGTCTAAGCTTTATTTAAAGCATATTGTGTTKTTTCCCTGCCAAAGTGCTTTACCTTAACAAACTTGGGTTACTGGCAATCAGCTCATGTTCTTACCAATGATGAGGTGTCCTGTCCTGAAAARGAATGATTAATAGAAGCTTTTGAAGAATGCTAATAATCTCTTAAACATTAGCAAACAGTAGCAATATCAAAACTTAAGACCGTGTTTTTAAAATCATATTTGAATATTATAAACTGGATGYTTGCMTTTTATAWGGGACAGCAAGACTGAAGTGATGACTGACTTCAGTTATTTATGTTAGTTTATGAATGATGCTGATAAAGCTGTRGCATCTCTCTGCACATGTAAACTCTTTGTACTTAAGTGGAGTTGGAGAAGTCAGCTATGTTCTACATAAAAAACAAATAGTTAAATTAGCTTCTTTTGTGTGCCACAATTAGGATCTGGACATCAATGTTTTTATTTTATAACTTATTGATTACAAATTTTATGCAATGCTAGAAAAAATGCCTACTGGGAAATTGTAGAATTTTTTTAAAAGCTAAAAATGCATCTATTGTTCCAGTTGAGCTATTGTTCACAGACTTCCTGAAAGTACGATATCTAGTGTGACTATAAAGGGCCGAATACTTCTATGGTTAATCATTACAGTTTGATGAAGAGTTCACAGCTCGACAGGAGGCACAGGCTGAGCTTCAGAAACGAGAGGAGAAAATCAAAGAACTTGAAACAGAAATCAAGCAATTACGAACACAGGTAATAACTACATGGAGTAAGTTCCACAGTTGAGAACTACTTTTTTTTTTTTTTAATTTTAGATTTGAAAAGAAGGTACCCTTGAGAGCACTGCCTCTGCAGAATTTGAAATGCGTATGAGAGCTGTATTGATTTATTTTTAAAACAGTGTAAAACCCTAAACATAGTTAATGGAGGTTGCAGTTTTCATATAGTATGTTCAACACCTATCGTGTTTGCTTTATTGAGGATAAAATTTCCTTAGGCAATAAAAAATGTGAATCTAGCATATTTTCTTCTCTAAATAATTGTTYATGTCCCAAAGTTCCATGTATTTTGCAAGAGAATTGTTTTAGAAGGCTTTGTATGATAAATGCCAAAGTTGGAAATAACTGCTTCTGTATAATATAGACACCTTTCAAACTAGGCATGCAAATGAAAACTCTTTAACATCCATTTCTTGGAACRCTTTTGCTAAAATACTACATTTACCAAAAAGACTATAGACATTAGTGTAGCAAACACAATGTAAGAGCTCTTGTAAGGAAGAAGAAAATACTTTCAAGAAAACTGATTTTACTTGCATTGATTTTCTTGTAAATTTAGCTCAGAATCCCCTCGGCTGTTTGTGGAAGTGGTTTGTGTGGGTTCCCTGTGAGGGGTAGAGGATGAGCAGTGCTGCCCATTCACCCCTCACGTCATTGCTTGGGTTCCTATTGCGTGATGACAGTGAACTGGATTTTGGACAGATCTCCTACCTCTTTTAGGAACCAGCAGTTATCACAGTCTGATCTTTCGGGCTTAGTCTGACTTGCTTGATTCCCCTTGAATTGCCCATCTTTCTGCAAATTGCCTTTTTCTTCATTGTGGGCACCTTTATGTCTGATGCCAGTAACAGGAGTAAGAACGTCTTGGTCTGTGGTGTAACCTGCCCACCATCGATCTGCCRTCAGAGTTACCTGTGCTTAGACCTTGCTGGTCACTGGCCTTCTCATTCTAAAGAATATGCGTTAGTTGGTATTTAATAGCTGGATGGCTGTAGGTTGCTGTTCTTATGTTCTTAAGAATACAAGCCAATTTAGTACCTTGTGGTCTGTTGCTTCTTATGATGCTTCCACTTGCAGACGTTTCTAGCCGTTTTTCATTCACATCAATTTTAGTATTTGTTACAAATCTGTAATATCCAGAAACCCCTCTCGTTGAGTTCTCCTTGAATTTACCTCTCCTTGAGCTTACTCAGTTTCTGGGCTGAAAAAAAAAATCACATCTTGTCTAGAAAACTAGAAACTATGTATAAATGTCTCGATTAGTATCTATGCTGTATACTGCTCTTAATGTGTGTATAGATTGCTCTCCTTTTGTACCAGAAATAACAGGCAACAAATTAAAAAAAAAAAAAAAAAAAAAAACTTTTTTTTCCCTCCTCCAAACAAGATGCCAGAATAGTTATGAACAACTGTGGCCTTATAACTTCTTGCAGTGCAATACCTCCTTCAGTTATTTCTGTTGAAAAAAATTCCACTAGATTAATCATTAATATTATTAACATTCATCATTATTAGTACCATCTTTGGTGCTCAAACTTACTGAGGTGTGCTGAATGAGGGAAAATGTACAACAGTACATTTGCACAACAGTAAGAAATAAAATGTTCTACTATTCATTTAAAACCTGCTACTACTATTACTAAGTTTCCTGAAAAATGAAAGCAATTTGTTTTGATGAAAATACTGGTTTATTTATTGGACAGTTTTCTGGTAGATATTATCTGCTACTATTTATGTTTCTCATTTTAAACAAAGGGATTGTTGTGTTTATTAGTGTCTTGAGGTCCAGTTGGCTATGAGGCGGTCTGGTCGGTTCAAGTCTATGTGCAACTCGCTTCTCGTCCTAGATAAAAAGTTCTCTTTAAATTTCAGGGTCCAGGCCTGACGCATCAGTCAGAAGTGCCACCAGCACCTCCGCCCCCACCAAGTGGGGCAGTGCCTCCACCACCTCCACCCCCACCACCCCCGCCACCACCTCCACCACCTCCTTTGCATCCTGGTGGAGCAGCTCCTCCTCCTCCTCCACCTCCTCCTCCACCTATGTGTGGACCTCCACTGCCAGCATCTCTTGGAGGTGTTCCTGCTTTCCCTCCTGTTCCAGTGATACCAGCGCTACCCCATGGAATGAAGGAGAAGAAAAAGTATAAACCAGAAGTCTCTATGAAAAGAATCAACTGGTCAAAGGTACTGTGATGCTTGTTTATTCCTCGCAGATAATGGAAAAGAGGTTTTTGAGGAAACTGGAAGTACCATGATGTAAACAATGGTTGAAGTTTGGGAAATTAATCCCATCCACTAACCAAAGCATTTCCAATGTGGAGGTTATGCTACAGCTTTTACTTTGCAAAGACACCTTGTTCAACCTAGGAGAATCTCCTTGTTTGGTTGTTTGGCTAAYGCGCTGGATGCCTCTATTTGGCATAGGATACTTAGTGTTACAGTACATTAAYAGCAGTGTTGGAAATTTCGCATCCATCATAGAGAATCATAGAAGGTGATGTTGTAAGAAACTGGAGAGATTGCAGTAAAATGAGATTGGGGAAAAGGTTTTTGTTTGTATATAATTCTCAGTGTATTTCTGGAATACTGAGGTGTTCTTGAAAAATACAGGTTAATTTTTATGCTTAGGAATTTAGAAGGAGTCTTGCAGTCCTCCTGTTTTTTTAACGTATCTGTACAAAATACCTTGAACCTCCTGCCTAGCATGCCATGTTACTAGCATTTTATGAAAAGTCCTCTGGGCTGCTTTAAATAGTACAGTTGTGTTATTAGAAAGAAGTATGTATGAGTTTTCATGCTAAAAATCAAGGTGCTGATGTCTGTCTGTCTGAGAAATATGGCATTATCTAGTTATGGACTCAAGGGTCTTTTGCAGGAGGAGCAATTATAGTTCATCTAGTTGGATGACTTGGTGTACTCTTTGAATCATATGAATTATACAATTATGTAATTGCTTTTGCTATAATGATGCATTTTTAGCAGTTTAGCCTTGTAATGCAGAGGTTTTCTTGAATTAAAGTCTAGGTGATTTTACTTCCTGTGAAATAGGTCCATTTTGCTGTTGAATGCCCTTGGTATCTTTACATTTAGAAGATGACACTCTTGATTGTTTCTACAATTTATCTTTGTGGGGTTTTTTTGGCTACTATATCAGTTAGTTTCTCTTACCTTCTTTGATTGATACTGAATTTTGATATTATTCTCTTGGGCAAGGGTTTTTTGCCTAGATGTTTTTCTTTTTCCTTAAGACATATGGATTTTCTAAGATTTCATATATTCATATATTTCATTTCATATATCATCTTTCTACTGTTTTCCTAAATAAGTTTTTATTTTATAATATGTATTTATCACTGCAGACAGTTTTACTGAACAAATTATATTAATGTGTTTACAGAAGCAATGTATAAAGTTTACATCTGAATGCTGTGTGTGATAAAAAGTAACTACAGATGGATACTTGGCTTAAGTAGTCTGGGATCAGTGCCAAAGTTTTTCCACATTCTGAAAAATAATAGAATCTATYTAGATCATCACTAAGGAACAGTCACTTTAGGAATAAAATTCTTAGTACTTAATTTAGTGCACTTAGTTGTAATTCTTAATAGTTGGTCTTGCATTAAGTTAGGTTGTAAAGTCTTGTCTGCAGCTGGTGCCAAGGTAGCTACAGAGTAAAACAGGGATCTTTTAGTGAAAGGGGGAGGAGAAATCATAAGTTTGATATYGATATATTTCCTGCCTCTCAGCTTAAATTCAAGAAGCCCTTTAATTTCAGAGTTTTTATTGGCGTTTGATCAGTGTTCCAAACTTGTAAACGATGATCAAAGACGCTTAAAAACTGGAATAGGAGCATTTTTTAAAAACATGAAATGGAGACTCTGAATCGTTCCTGAAGAGTAAGATCAGCTTTGAGTTTTTATTGTAATCTGTTCTGATTTTTTATTCTTTTAAAAGCTGATATAAATAAAGTATTTCATTCTCTGTGATTTTACTGTTTGGTACACTTGAAAAGCAATAACTCTGCRTATTTTGTTAAATATAAAATTATTTTGCCTATGAAAGATGCTRACTCTTCCTGAAGACTTAAAATGTTTAAGAAAGACATAATAATTTAGTCTCTTAAAGACCTATATTGGCGTATCATTTGCAAATGCTGTGCTTTAGGCAAGAAAGATTAGTGTTTCTCCTAGCATCTTTAATTAATCAGTGCACATCAGTGGTGAAGAATAAAAATTCAACAAGTATCTAGAAGGTAAATAAAAGAGGAAGCAAGAGCAATTCCAAAACCAGTTGCAAACACGTATCAAGCCTGTTTGGAAAACTTGTTGACTGGTTAACTTGGGAAAACATTCATATCTGTACAGTTATTATGAGAGGGACTGCTATCTCTTCCTGCTAGAAATTAAAGAAAGGCTACTGAACTTCCTTTCATTTGGATAGTTTTCTGTTAATAAGCTTCAATTGTCTGTTAATAAACTTCAATCATTTAAACTCCATTATCTATTTCTAGAGTGCTAAATTGTGGTGTTGTATGGTTATAACAGTATAAGATTTGTGTTTTCAAATGATCAAATAGAGCATCAAATGTATTTTACCATTTTGAAATAGAAAAGGAAAAAAGAAGAAATCAACCTAAACAGTGTTGCCTAAAATGTAAGCTTAAAATCTCAGAAACCTAAAATCTAAAATMTCAGAAACAAGGTTGGTGAATATCAAGTGTTTTTAAGAAAGCATCTTTATATACTGTAAAAAGAAAAGTAGGGAAAAAAAGAAATGCAGCCAACACCTCTCTGCATTAGCAGCAAAATACGGTCCAGTATTCACCAACAAGAAGGAGCAAGAAACAGTGAACTCTCCTCTCTGTCACCATGTAAACACCTCCTAGTACAAATAATTGTCCATAGAGTTCTCTCCTTCTATTAGGAGAAATATTTGGATAGTCAGTTTGGATGGATAATTTGGWTTATGCAAAACATGAGGGATTTTTTTTTGCTGACACGCGATACTTGAAAATGTGTTTTTAGGYGGTTGCACAGGTTTGCTTGAAGGTATTAAGTTAATCTGATAAAATCATTGTGAATATAGAGTATAGTTAGTGTGACTGTTTTTCTTAGGAAGCATCTTTAAGAGAACATCTTTTAAGATGGATTGAAATAGCACCTTTGTGAACCAAATTCTAATTTTTACACACAACACGCAACATGGTGCTGGATCAAGGCAATGGTGGCCAAGGCAGCTGTGTTCATCTCTGCTGCTTCTGATGAATTTGTTACCTGCACAGGTTAAATCTCATGTGTCATGGCACCATTTATGCTTAAGCACTTTAAAAAGTTTCTTTATTAGTAAGAATGCTATTAATTCCCTAATTTAATTCAGTACAATTATTGCAACAGTCTAATAGCACTGCTTTTAATTTGGCTGTTGAAACTGCTAGTTACTAAATATAAAAATGATTCTTTTGTTTCAGGTTGAGCCAAATGAAATAATGGAATGCAGCTTTTGGGTAAAAGCTAGAGAAGATAAATATGAAAGCCCTGATCTGTTTGCAAAATTAGCACTCACCTTTGGATCACAAATGAAAGGTACATTCTGCTTTTATTTTGTATCCTACTACTGGTAAGTTAAACTCGGTGATGCCAGTCATCCTTATGGTTTATGCAATGTTATGGAGTTTACATAGGTTTTTTGTAGTGGAAAGATGCCTTACAACACACACGTTATAAGCATTGCCATTTAGTACAAGAATTACTTCTCACTGTTGTTGTGGCCTATTGTTGAACAGCAAGAAAATTGTCAAAACAAGCTTTATGAAAGTACATGACAAACCTCAACTTTGCAGGCAGATGCACATTTTTTTAAGCCAGATTCCAATAAGAAGTCAAATTTTAATCTTAAACTATGCCTATCTGCATTAAAATAACTAACTGCAGGATTCAAGTTGTCAGGTTCTTTTAGATATTCTGCACATAAAAGGTGTAATGTATAATAAATATGTGAAATCATTGGAAGTTGCCTGAAATTTTGATTGAGTGCTACAACAGTATATTTAGATCACTTCAGTCTTCTAAAGTTTAGGCTTGAGTGTATGGGCGTGTACTTTTTAAGTTCTTGGAATACTAAAGGAAAACATGAAATATTTGTTTGATTTATGTTGGAGCACTGTATACAATGGGTCAATTTTTTGGCCATAGTAGACAACAGGACAGTAAAAATACAGCCTTATGTTGGAGTTTTCTGTAAAATCAAAGTGGGATTGATCAATATGTCGTGTAAATAGCTCTTTGGCAAATGTTTTTGGATGAAAAAAAAAATCCTCAATTTCTCAAACACTTGTAATTTTGCCAATAGGAGATAACATTGAGTGGTATCTTTAGTCCAGAATGTAGTTAACTAACTTCTGAACATTATGATTTTGAAACTGGCATACTATCCTTAGCTATTTGTGGTTTTCAGATGACATTAGAGTACTTCTGCAGCTGCAGACCTCTTGAAAACTTATTATTAAGCATGAATAGTAATGAACCTCTGAGCAGTATTTAATATGTGAGCCATTTACCAGTAATTTSTTTCAGGCATTGGGAAGTAGCAAGTTCTGTTGAGGTATGGTTCAATAATAACTTATTCAAGAGCTAATGAGGCAGCCCAACAAATTATAGTCCAAGAAGCAGCAGGTACTGAAGGAATGAATTCCTGATCYAGCCACAAATCTTTCCTCCATCTGGCAGGCACTCAGACTATGGCATGCTTTAGGGATGTGCACTTCTTGAAGGTGAATGGAGTCGCATGAATCAAGTTTCCATAGGACAAATCTAAATAAGCAGACTACATTTAGCTTTTAAAAGAACTGAATGTGTGTCCCAAGATGTCTGTATACATGTTTTTATGTTGTTTTAGCTCCTTGCTTTTGAGAGCTGACATTGTATCTTGAAGGTCTTTTCCAACCCTAATGATTCTATGCTTCTATGTGATGCTCTGTGTTTTAACTGTCCTTTCTTAGGTAGAAGTACTAGAATATTTTTGCGCCTCTACAAATTACATGAGGGGATTGTATTACTTCAAGTGCAAATTATTRTACATAGAAATTTCTGGTATCCTGAATGTGTTCTGAATTTCAGGACATTTTATAAGAACAACATTTTATACTAATACAGTATTTTAAAAGTGTGTTCAGGCTAAGACAGGTATTTTAGAGTATCATAACTTTCCTGAGTTATGCTTCAAGAAGAGTTTTTCCCTGAGTCATTTTCAAATAACTGTGTGTTTTATCTGTGCCCATTAGAAACTCCTTAGAAAAGTTGTCACCTTGTCAGCTGTGCTTTTTTTTTTCCATAGATAGTATTGAGTTCTTGCACGCAGAGTTCTTGTTATTTTGAGTAGTCACTGAATCTTAGTGTTTGGGTTCTACAATGTTTCCCCATTTTTTTTGTCTCCGAACGCTTTTATGATTTTGTTTTGTTTTGCTGATTGAAGTTTAATAGATTTGGGGATTCGTCAGTAGAAATAATGGCTCAATGGCCTTGCAATCAGGTTGCAATTATGTCTAGTTTGTCACTGGCTGAGGTGTAACGGCAAGGCAAGGAAGTCTTCAAAAGGAGCCTCCAGCAGCAGACAACATTTAAAATGGAATTAAGTCCTTTCCTAATGAAAAYGACAGCCTTCTGCCTCGAGCTGAATTCTTTCATCAGCAATTGAAGAAATGTTTCTAAATTCCTTAAAAAGCTTCTTTGTTAAAAATATTGCAAAAACCCCTCTTGAGATGTTGACGTAGCTGTCAGTTTCTTATGAGAGGGAATTCTTGCTGTCCTATTTGCACAGTTATAAAACTACAAACAATAGAAATTTTCTTACTAGCTTCATTTTGTGGTAGCTTTGCAGATGTTTTTCTTATCCTTCCTGAGGCTCCTCCAATAGCTGTAGAAAATAATATGCGGTTACAAAGGATGGGGAGATGGTTAAAAATACCAAGATGACAATGTTAGTGCTTATTTGAATTTCTCTAAAATTGAAGTTATGAACAGAAAACTTGTTAAATATGCTGAAAGACTCATACACAACTATTGCCCAATGGGTAAGGGAGATGTATACCAGAATGTAATGCAGTATTTTGTTGAAAATCTTCTGAAGACAATATAGTGCACTTTCAGAAATGTGATGTAGTTATACTGTTCATTGCTGGAAAAAAAAAAGCATGTGCTTTGTTTTCATATGTTTGCCCAAATGAAGTGAATAATCGTATGGCCAGTTTTCATATGAGCTAGCTATTTTTTTTTTTTGAAAATTACATATATTACATAGGTATATTACACTGCACATGAAAATCCTATTTAGCTTAATATTGCCTCTTATTTTTCTTATAATAAGTTTTAAGGAAAGCTCTAAAGGCCTTTAGAAGTTGCAAGAGTCTCATAGTAACTTACTAACAGTATAGGCTCAAGTAACTATATCCAATGTGAAATTTTCTTCTGCATCTTCCATCAATGGGTGCATTGAAAGTATTCCCAGTTCTTCTTCCTTACCCTTAGCCATATCTTTAGAGAGCAGATCAATCACCAAAATGCTGATTTCAAGCATAATCTAGGATCAATAAAATCTCTTGCCRGTCTTGTTTCTGAGTATGATCTCCTAATGGGTTCTCTGAGAATGATGCATAATGACAGGTAGACATGCATTTTATTGCCTCAAGAGAGCACAGTCAATGTGTAAAACAAATATATGCTTGAGAGGAAGAAAACTGACAATCGCTAAGAACTTATTGCAGTAACATAGTGAATATTATCTTTTATGATCCTTTGGAATGCCAGCAAGTATAGCAACTGAAGCAAAGCAGAAGATAACGTGCACATTTATTCAATTTTTGTATTTCCAATAAGAGCAATCATAAATTTGATTAAATGAATTCTGTTCATGTTCTTTTTGAACAACGACAGTGACAATTTCCTTTTTCTCACTTAGCACAGTTTTATTTTAAGATACTTCACAAATATCTTAATCTTGGTTGTCACTGAACTACATGCTGCTTAATTGTCTGAGTGACACCACCTTGCATGAAAGGCAGTCAAAGCTGCAATAAAATGGTACCTTTAGACTTTATAGGAGGAAAAATAATTGTCATAAAAGTTGACTTCCAAAGCACACTTTCCATTAATTTAGGAGTTATTTTTTGTATGCATCAATTAACTACATAAAGATAAGAATGTTTAATCACTCAGTACCAAAAGTAATTTTACCTGAATATAGTTAGATCCAAATTTCTTTCGAAGTGTAAGAGTAAGGTTAAATCTTCACTCATTGTTTAACTGTCAGCTGCTTAAAATAATTTCTTAGCTAATATGTCCAGTGTGTTCAATGAGGTTCAGATCAGAACTAATCCAACTTAGTTTGTTCTGAGATCAATTACTGAGCACACTTACGGAAACGTCTGTTCTGTGGGGAGCATCAGAAGCATCTTAGGGTGTTAGGCCCTTTCAGGCTTTACAAGATCCTGAGATCTCAGGGTTTGAACTAAGTTAACTGACTTCTAATGATCGCTGTCTCAGCACAGACTTGAAGGATTTTTACAAGTTTTCTTCAAGAGAAATTTAGACGACCTGAATAGCTTTTCAGGGCCTTTGTCGAGTGGACTTTAAGATTTCAGACTGCYCGTAGAAATCTTTAATGTGTGTTTTGAACTTGAAACTCTGCTCCCAGACACACAGGAGGAAGTGATGGCTGGAGTCTCTCAGGCAGTATGAGGGAATAAATGAGATTGCAAATCAGGTGCAATTAGAAATTAATGGGTGACTGTAGGTTATTAACAAGTTGGGTGATGTTAAGATGTGGTGCCATGAGGAATACATCTTTCCCATGTAGGGAAGAATGGCTTTTTTGAATGTTCAGTTGCTTTCTGTGAACTGTTGAACGTTTTTCTAATTAAAAATAATCCCTTCTAGTTTGGGAAGTATAAAGAGAAAGTGAAATCAACTGAATTAAGTCAGCTGAATTATGTAATATTAACCCTGCATTGTTTCTTAAGAATTGAAGTTAGGCGATGCATGTGATCTAAGAAATACATCTTGTTGTTATGAGGAGTTTATTATAGGATCTTGAAGTCATTCATTTCTGCTAATATACAATAAAATAATGAAAGACACAGTCACCTGAATAAGCCTTTTAATTATCCAATGTATATGATATACATTCTTGGAATTCTTCAGTTTAAAAAATGATTCTGTTTTTGATTAAATGCATAATTGTGTGTTTCCCTTATAAGGGAGATATTTTAGTTAAGTTGACCAGTAATTTGTGCTCATTATATTAATCTAGTCTGGTGACATTTTTCTGGAAATTTGGACTTCTGCTTCAGTAAAATTCAAATATACTATGTAATTTTTTTTTCTTTGGACAGCTGGTGTTTCTGTGGAATGTCATGAGAAGGTAAAGTGTAGCATTAGCTCTTTTGACAAGAACCAACTTAAGAGGAAATGTTTCAAAATGTTTAAGCTAACCAAATTATGTTCTGCATCTAGAGCAATGTTTCGTATATATTGTTTTTATCCCTTAACTGATGTCTGAATTTACTGCAGGCTGCACGTATACTGCAGGG